TTACAGTATACTGTTATAATTGTTCTATTTTATCATAAGTTATTGTTAATCTCTTACTGTGCCTAAATTATAAATTAAACTTTATCATAGGTATGCATCTCTAGGAAAAAACATAGTATATATAGGGTTCAGTACTCTCCGTAGTTTCAGGCATCCACTGGGGGTCTTGGAACTTATTCCCCGTGGATAAGGGGAACTATTGTATACTTAAGCCACAATTTTTTCAAACTAAATATACATATCTAATCTAGTTGTACGTGGGATTAAATTTAGACAACACAACCAATCTTATATATAAATGCCTTGCCACATTCTTATATCTGACATGAATTGAAAGTATCGCGCAGCTTGCAAAATCTGTCCTGTCGTGTTGGTTGCACTATCCATAACAGGTTGTAGCTGAGTAATCAGCATCGCTTTGAAGTGCTTTGCAATTGAACAGGTACGGTTTTTAATTCATCAGATGATTTATCATACAAATTCCATGTACTAGATCCATAGCTGCTGGAAGAATAACTTTTCAGTAACTGAATAGATCATCTTCTCTTTTGCTGTATAAATGATATGCAACCAAATACAGCATTATTAAAGTTTTCTCATGAATGACTAAGAAATTGTTCTCATAACTGTGTCTTTTTCTTTTCTGTGTATAATTTTCAAGAAGCTTATTGAAAAATTGAGCATGCTATGTTTCCATGTATCTTTTTTTTTTTTAGTTTGAAGACTTTAAGCTTTCATTTGCAAGGATATCATTAAAAATATTAAATAAAACTTCAGGGTCTCATTTTTTGGGCTTGCATATTTGATAATAATCTATTAAATATATTTAAATAACTTTCATTTTAAATTCTTATAGTTAGCTCTGTTCTTCTTAGAATGTGGCCTGATGGAAATCAAAGTTTACTGTTTGACTCAACATTTTTTCTCGATATTATCATTCTTCATGTTTAAAGATCCAGCAGTTGAACTTGGGCCAGGCCTAAGTATTTCTACTTAAAGAGGCTTTTACCTTTTAATGAGAAAATGATCCATTTTAAGGGCTATTTGTACTAGCTCAATCATAAGGTTACAGTTGTCAAGAACGAAAAATGTAGTATATGATCATGTCCTTTCTAAAAAACATACTGAAATTGTCTCATTTTTTTTTCTGCAGTAGACCAAATTACTGAGCTCTCACTACTGACCAGACACTGTGCTGAGCACTTCATGTATGGTGTTGCCCTAATCCTTACAACAATCAAATGAGGACAAGAAGAGCATTATCTCCATAGCACATCTCCACACTACAGACGAGGAAGCAGAGAAGGGAGTAGGAGGATGAGCTGGCTGAAGGGGTGTGTCTTAGAGCCCAGCCCCTTACTCTTTAGCCTTAATTGTTCATCTCTAACAGTTTCTCTTCTGTAAGACTGAGATGGTTCTAACTGGCCTACATAGGTCATATGTTGGTTGTGAGGATTAAGTTAAGGTAACTGAAAGCATTTTTGTAAACTGAAGAGAAATCAAATACTGTCCCTAGAATGTTTGGGACTTAATATCTTTTGAGGCTGTAGATTTTTCTGTCCCTGGTAGAATTGGGGGGGGGGCGGGGGGGGGGGAGATTAATTATGCTTAAGAAGTCCAAACTTAATATTCTGAACACCCAAATTTCCTAATAGTGTCACATTTACTCCTTTTTCTTGAAAATGACAAAAAAAGAAACTCTTTAGAAAAGAGAGAAGTCCATAAAGTTTAGATTGAACGTGTATACAGTAACACATTGTTTAATGATGGGATACGTTCTGAGAAATGTGTCATTAGGCAATTTCGTTGTTGTGCCAACATCATAGAGTGTAATTACACAAACCTAGATGGTATGGCCTATTGCTTCTGGGCTATAAACCTGTACAGCATGTTACTGTACTGAATGCTGTAGGCAATTATAACGCAATGGTAAGTATGTGTGTATCTAAACATATCTAAACATAGAAAAGGTATAGTAAAAATATAGTATAAAAGATAAAAAGTGGTACATCTGTAGAGGGCACTTAGCATGAATGGAGCTTGCAGGACTGGAAGTTGCTCTGGTGAGTCAGTGAGTGAGTGGTGAGGGAATGTGAAGGCCCAGGACATCACTATACACTGCTGTAGACTTCATAGACACTGTATACTTAGGCTACACTAAATTTATTAAAAAATATGTTTCTTTCTTCAATAATAAATTAACCTTAGCTTACTGTAGCTTTTTTTACTTTATAAACTTTAATTTTTTTTAACTTTTTGACTCTTTTGTAATAACATTTAGCTTAAAACACAAACACATTGTACAGCTGTACAAAAATATTTTCTTTCTTTATATCCTTACTCTATAAGCTTTTTTATATTTTTAAAATTTTTAACTTTTTTTTACCTTTTAAACTTCTTTGTTAAAAACAAAGACACAAACACACACAATAGCCTAGGCCTACACAGGGTCAGGATCATCAATATCACTGTCTTCCGCCTCCACATCTTGTCCCACTGGAAGGTCTTCAGGGGAAATAAGACGCACAGAGCTGTCATCTCCTATGATAACAACGCCTTCTTCTGGAATACCTCCTGAAGGACCTGCCTGAGGCTCTTCTTGAGGAAGTGTCACTCTTTTCAAAGATATATCCATGGTGATTTGCTCGGTTTGTTTCTTTTTTCCATCATAGATTTGCTTGTAAACAGATAATGCACCAAGAACATTCCTTTCTTTTTTTTTTTTTTTTTTTGTGGGGAAGATCAGCCCTGAGCTAACATCCGTGCCAATCCTCCTCTTTTTGCTGAGGAAGACTGGCCCTGAGCTAACATCTATTGCCAATCCTCCTCCTTTTTTCTCCCCAAAGCCCCAGTAGATAGTTGTATGTCACAGTTGCACATCCTTCTAGTTGCTGTATGTGGGACGCGGCCTCAGCATGGCCAGACAAGCAGTGAGTTGGTGCGCGCCCGGGATCCGAACCCGGGCCGCCAGTAGCGGATCGTGTGCACTTAACCGCTAAGCCACGGGGCCGGCCCTGAACATTCCCTTCTATTAATGAAAACCTTTTGGTGTTGGGGTCCATGTTTTCAAACTTTTTAAGGAGCTTGCGGAGGTCTGCAAAAGCTTCTGCTGAACCCTTCACTGTGAATTTTCTTGGGGGCTCTTCTTCTTTTTATTCTCCTGCAGTTTCCTTTTCTCTTGCCTCTTCTTCAGTTATGCACTCCTGTTCCAGTTCCAACAGCTCCTCATCAGTCAGTTCCTCAGGAACCACCTCTATGAGCTCCTTGATGTCATCCTCATCCACACCCAGCAATGGCCACTGAGGAAGAAGACTGCAGGCTTTCCTGGTCACAGGCTTTCCCCTGTCCCTCTTCTCTGCCCATCACCAGAGGAGCAGGTGCAGAGGAAGGTGAGAAAGATAGAAGTGCGTGAAGGGTGTACCTGGTGCACACCTCACTCGCTCAGGCTGAGCTGCCAAAGGAAGGAAAACTTTGAGATGAATATGAGATTCAAGTTTTAAAGTAAAGTGAGGGCCGGCCCCGTGGCTTAGCGGTTAAGTGCGTGCGCTCCGCTGCTGGCGGCCCGGGTTCGGATCCTGGGCGGGCACCAACGCACCGCCTCTCCGGCCACGATGAGGCTGTGTCCCACATACAGCAACTAGAAGGCTGTGCAACTATGACATACAACTATCTACTGGGGCTTTGGGGGGAAAAAAAATAATAATAAAGTAAAGTGAGTCATAGAGATGGAAATGAGACTAGTTTAAAAAGAGATAATGATTGAAACATTAAGGCATGAAGCCAAGATGTCAATAGATGTTTCCCAGTGGGAAAAGCGAGCTTGAGAGAACAAAGATTAGGTAGGCATTATGAAAATGCAATTACTTTATTATATATATATAAAGCATATATAACATATACTATATATATGTAACATATTATATACAACATGTAATATATATACACACACATATATGAAACAGGGAAGTCTATAAATAGAGCCACGAAATTTACAAGGAGCCATGAGAATTACAGGAAGGAGAGAGAACTGCAGGCTAGGGAATCAAGGGAAGTTTCATTGAGGATGTGGCATGTAGGATGAGTCTTGGGACATGGATTGGGGTTTGGGCAATACCTACTTGGGAAACAGGAATTCAGGAGAAGGGACAAGCTTGAGCAAAACGGGCAAAAATGGTATAGAATTGTGGCAGGGAAGTACAGGACTGGCCTGGAGGCCAGTTTGTAGTCCAGATTGGCTGGAACATTAGGCTGTGTGAAGGGGATGATATGGCTGCATGGGCAGTTTACAGCAAATAGTGGTAGTAACTGAGGTCCGTCGTGCTGGTGGTCAATAATCGCTGGCTGAATAAATGAATAAAGAATGAAGTTACTGGACTGCCAGGTGGTGGAGCCTGTCTTTTATGCACCAAGCAATGAACAGCCAGTAAGGATTCCGTTTACAGGGGAATGACAGGGACAGAACTGTGTTTCAGGAACGTTACTAAAGACCTCATTCCCACTCTAGGAAGAGTTAGGCTCAGCTGGAGGGTTTGTCTACAGAACAGTAGCAGGACCTCTCGAAGTGGCACACTCCTGCCTCTGCAGACACTTCCTTTTGGGGACCCTGGTTGACCCCCAGCATCAACGCTTGCTGAAGGCTACTTTCTACCCCTAGGTTCTCTCTTGTATTTGTAATTTCCAATCCACTTGGGCCACTTTCACACCTTGGAATCACTTTCTGGCGGGGCCGCGAGAGGAAACGGCATAACATGCCCAGGACCCGAGGGACGCGGGGTCTCTGAAATCGCCCATTCCAACCAGAGGACGCGCTCTTGACTGGGGTCCCGCTCCGGCGTCGGTGGCATCTGCTCCTCGCCCCCCACACGGCCAGGGGGCGCCCTCGGTCGCCGGCTCACCTGGTTGGCAGGCGCGCACCCTCTCGCCGTGCGGGGCTAGGCCACATCCTCGGACCCAGAAGCCGCGTCAGACTTCCACGCCGGCCAATCAGAATTGTCCATGTACCAGCGGGGACGGGCTGTGGAGGCAGGAGGAAGATGGCGGCGGGGGCGAGGTGAGGTGGTGGCAGGAGAAAGGGTTCGGGCGCGGGAGGCGGGGGGACGCGGAGCGATGGCCCGCGTCGGCCGCAGGGGCAGATAAGAAGCCGTCGCGCCGCGGGTGTGGGGGGCCGGAGGGGAGGGCGCCTGGGCGCCCCGAGAGTATGACGGGGCTGTACGAACTGGTGTGGCGGGTGCTGCACGCTCTGCTCTGCCTGCACCGCACGCTCGCCTCCTGGCTCCGCGTTCGGTTCGGCACCTGGAACTGGATCTGGCGGCGCTGCTGCCGCGCCGCCTCCGCCGCGGTCCTAGCGCCGCTCGGCTTCACGCTCCGCAAGCCCCCGGCTGCGGGCAGGAACCGCCGGCGCCACCGGCACCCGCGCGGGGGGCCGGGCCCGGCCGCTGCCCACCTCCGGCTGCGCTGGCGCGCGGACGGCCGTTCCCTGGAGAAGCTGCCTGTGCACATGGGCCTGCTGATCACCGAGGAGGAGCAAGAGCCCAGCTTCTCGGACATCGCGAGCCTCGTGGTGTGGTGTATGGCCGTGGGCATCTCCTACATTAGCGTCTACGACCACCAAGGTGAGACCCGGCGCGGGGAGGGGGACCGGGGCGCCTCTGACCGCGGGGACCGCAGCTCACGGCAGCCCTCCCGGCGCCACGAGTTTCCCGGTCCCGAGGCCCTTAAGTGCAATTTACGGCGCTAGAGCTTTCGAGGAAGGGAGATAAGCTTTATTGAGCATCTAAGTCTCTGAATTCGATTCATTCACTTTGTATACATTTAAAAAATATTTAATATTCTTTATAATGCTCCAGTAAGCTAGATGGCTTTGTATACCCTTGGTTCACAAACGAGGGAGCCGAGAATTAACAAAATTCACTGATTTGTCCAAAGTCACAAAGATAGTAATAGGGGGATTGAAATTTTAGCCAGTCTGTGCTTTTTTACATATGTGCCCTTTTGTTATACCAGACTGTTTCTTCAGAGAGATTTCAAGGCACTGTTCTTAAGTCACAGTCAAGCTGTGGAAGATTTATGCATAAGTGAATGGTTGGGGCCCAGTGGCACTTGGAGTGGGCTTATGAAAAGTATGAGAGAGACTGGATAGGCAGAAAGGAAAATGGTCACGTTCTGTCTTTGAGGTCTGGGATGGTGTGCGATTGTTGATCCTCAGTGGCGAACACAGTACTTGACACAATAATTGTCCTCATAAGTTTTGATTGAGAGAATGAATTTCACCATAAGGAATTTTTGTAAGTACAAAAATTCATCACTTATCGGGTGGCTACAAACCTGAAGCACTGTGCTAAGCACGTTCCTTGGAATCTTACATTTAATTCCTTGGACTCTCAGGCTTGTGGGGGAGTAGACACTCACATAAGTGGCATCATTAATAACAAGAAGTGTTGGGAATAAGTAACTACTATGAGAAGCAGGGAGAGATATTTTAAGTGGAGGAACTTGAGAAGTTCATGCAGAGGAGACAGGATTTAAGCCCGATGTTGAAGAATGAGTAGAAGATAAGGTTGAGGAAGGCTCTAAATGTCCGGTGTGGGTTTCAGTCAAATCCTGAAAGCAGTGAAATTTCCTTAGAGATAATGATGTGGTGATAAGAATGATTTAGGAGTATTGGTATGGAGGAAAGAAAAGTAATGTTTTAGTCTCTGTTCAATAACTTAAATTACCAGTATGCTCCACAGAAGCTACAACTTGATTTTTAATCTTTAAATCTTTAGATAGGTTCCAGTGTGAGGTTTTGTCAGAAAAGGTAGGTCAAGATCAGACAGTAACTACCACCTTCCTTGCAGCCGGCAAGCAATATGGTGACATCAAAGGATGACTTAGCCTGTAGGGTAAAGTTTAGTATACTCAGGGGCTGACATTTTATGGAACTTGCCCATGAACTCGCTGACCAGTAGAAATCATGAGACTGTTATGAGGCAACACAGTCTTTGCTTAAAGCAGCGCAACATAAATATTGTCTGGGGAAAAAGTGTGAAGCAGAAATAGGAATTAGTTAAAGCTATTAAGCAGTGTAGTAAGTTGACTTATAAATGAATCACTTACATTCAGGTGATTCCAGTAGGGAAGGAAAATGTATAGCTAAATTGTCTAACTTGGTGACTGTGCCTGCTAACACAGATGCTAATATTGCCACACTTCCTTGTTCCGGCAAGTCCTGTTATGGAATTGCTGGTGTAAATCAGAAGTATTCTGTGTCATATTCACTAAAAGGAAACTGATTGGTAATGAAAAGGAAGAAGTCAAGCTAACCAACTAGTGATGACCAAAAGGAGTTTTAAGGAGCATTTTCAGTGAATGGACTTAGAGCACCTTGTGTCCTACTGTTAACGCAGTTTTAATTATTTTTTAAGGGATAAGAGATAATTTCATTGTTTGAAATAGGAAACTTTTGATTTAGCCATTCTTGGTTTTGATTCATTCGTTCATTCATTTAGCAGGTGACAGTTGGGCATCTGTGAAGTACCAGGTACTGTCCTGGGCATGGGGGTGCAGCAGTGATCAAAACAGACAAAAATCCCTTTGCTCACGGAACTTATGTTTTAGTGGAAGTCTGACAGATATTGTAAATGAGTAAAGTATGTGGTATATTAGATCATAAGTGCAATGAGGAAAAATAAAGCAAAGAACGGGGAGAGTTGAGAGTCAATGGTGGCAGAAGGGGTGCAGTTTGAAATATGGTGGCCAAAGAAGGCCTCAGTGACTTTAGTGTAGACCCGAAAGAGGAGAGGGAGCCAGCCATGAGGAGACGTGAGAAAAATTGTCCTTTTTCAGGGGAGGTACAGATATTTAAGCTTTATTCAGTTTCTTCAAACTTTTATTTAAGCTTATTTCTATATAGATGTTTAACTTATTTCTATATAGATGTTTAAATTATAAAAAAATCCTATTGACATACTCATAAATATCACATTTACTGAGTACCTAGTGTGTTACAAAGCTCTGGGATACAAAGGAGTACAAGAAATAGTGTCTCGTAAAGAGTTTACACTTAAGTTAGGAATATCTACTAAAAATTAATACAAGCTAATATATGAATGCTAGTGAGTGGCAGAGACTTTATTTAAGGAGAGAAAAAGAGAAAAATCCTTGAGGAGCAGGGTTACCCCCATATGTTCTTAGTAAGGAAGGAGGTGACACCTGAGCTAGGTCTAGCAAAAACAGCTAGAAATTGGATTATCGTGAACAGTACAGTGTTGTGTGTGTGTGTGTGTGTGAGAATGGGGAATTCGCCATTGGCAACATTCCCATTAGACTATCAAACAGCAGCATTGAGTAGTGTGTTGGGAATAGTGAATATAATAGGTAAGTTTATGTACAGTCATGCGTCGCTTAATGACAGGGATATGTTCTGAGAAATGCGTCGTTAGGTGATTTCATTGTGTGAACATCATAGAGTGTACTTACACAAAACTAGATAGTATAGCCTACTACACACCTAGGCTCTATGGTACTAATCTGACGGGACCACCGTGGTATATGTGGTCTGTTGTTGACCGAAGTGTCGCTGAGTGGCTCATGACTGTAATGAAAAGTTGAGAAATGAGGTGGGATGAAGGCTTGGACAACTGTTCTGGTTCTTTGTTGCTTTGTAGTCTACCACAAAGTAAAGTGTTTTAAAACAACAATTAATGTGTTGACTCCATTCAGTTGGGCAGTTCTTCCTTGGTGTTGGTCCCACTCATAAGGTTGCAGTCAGACTGTAGCTGGGTCTTAAAGGTTTCTCACCACATGTCTGGTGCCTGTTTGTGATGGCTGGAATAAATGAGGCTGGGTTGGTCGTCTATCTTCAGATGGTCTTTCCACGTGGCCAGCTTGCGTTTCCTTATTTAATAGTGGCCTCGGGGTAGTCAGACTTCTTACAGATAGCCACCTTTCCCCAGAGTGTGTTTCCAGAGACCCAGCCACAGGTCAAAGCTGCAGGGCTTCTTATGATGTAGCTTAGGAAATCATGCGCTGTTACTTCTGCTGTATTCCCTTGGTCTGAGAAGTCACAGGTCTGTCCCAAATCAAGAAAATAGAGAAATACACTTTACCTCTCAATGAGAAAAGGGCTTGTACAGAAGGGGTGGGGGTGGGGGGAATGATGGCAGCCATCTTGGAGATAAGCTACTGTACCACCTTACGTTTTTCCTGTCATATATACCCCTTCACCCAAGAATTTGTGTTTAAATGAGTAGTCATTCCGATTATAGTTGACTCTTTGTTGTTAGTGCTGTTGAGTCGGCTTGGACTCCTAGTGACCTTAGGACCCTGCCTGGTCTTTTTGCACCATCCTCTCATCTTCGGTGCTGTATCAGACAGTGCTCCGCTGCTATTTATAGGGTTTTCGTGGCCACTTTTTTCAGAAGTGGTAGCCAGGTCCTTCTTCCTAGTCTGTCACGGTCTGGAAGCTCTGCTGAAACCTGTCCACCTTGGGTGACCCTGCTGGTATTTGAAATACCTGTGGCATAGCTTTCAGCATCACAGCAACACGCAGCCACCACAGTGTAACAACAGACACATGGTAGTGTGATTCCCTCACTGGGAAACGAACCTGGGCCACGGCGGTGAGAGCACCGAAGTTTAACCGCTAGACCACCAGGGCTGGCTGTAGTTGGATCTAGATTATATTTGATTTTTAGAGTAAAAAATCCATCGATATTTACCGTTTGACTCGGTCAGCAAACTGCTCTTTTTATTTTAATTTCCCTGGAATATTTGTTGATTGTAATAATTTCTGCCAGTAATTCTTTCATCTATCAGAAATTGAAGTTGTTTTCTCAGGAATTTCTTGAGCTCAGAATCTAGTAAGATTTAACTATTTTGTCTACATGATTATAGTTTAAGAAATGACCATAATAGGGATGGTACAAAAACTGGAGTTAAGGGGCTTTTGGTGCTATAGCCTTGGGGTCGCTGTGCTGGCCTGGGTCTCACTTGAAGTACGCCTAGATCCACGTTATCTGGGTATGTATTATTATCTTCAGTGATGGAACTGTTCATATTGCCTGGCTGTATTGGTGCCATGCTGTGAACCTTGCTGTAGGGCAGTATATTTCTAAACATGGTCTATGGACCATCTGTGAATGAGTCGTTAGGGATGTTATAAAAAAATACAGATTCAACACAGTTGTTGATCAGACCAAATTAGGAGAGTGGGACCTGAGCATCTCTATTTTTATCTAGCTGTCTATATAGTACATCTGCACACTGAAGTTTTACCATAACACAAATCAAAGGATACTTTGCTACTTGCCTTACATCAAATTATTCATCCTTCATGTTCCTTTTCATGAGTGAGGATAAACTGGGGTGGGTTTTAATATTACTTACTATAAATTGGAGTGATCCAGAATAAGGCATTGCCTTCTGTGTGAGAATTCAGTAACAAGATGAAATCTTTTGTGGTCCTCTTTTTAGTGTTACTTCCATAGTTGTAAATCCATGCTAGGTGACTTATGAAATGGTTTTTGGGTACAGATCTCTCACACGAGCATTAAAAAGGTCTGCCCAGTGTGCCCTCAGCCTTCCCAACCTATTTCTCGCTATTTTATATACCTGTTGCTGCATCCGTAAT